ATTACTATTTCAGGAAATACTGACATTATTTCAAGAAATACTGATATTATTTCAGGAAATACAGAAATAATCAATGAATTACATCAAAATATAGGATGCAACTGAACGAGTTGATTTCATACGTAAAGAAAGAAATATTTGATGCATCTTTAAAAGAAATCATTTTATGAAAGCAGCGGGAAAGCATCGAGAACTGAGAGATGATGTTTTCTTGGTTAGACTCTCGAATAGTTTTATGGTAAATCAGAAATAATTCTAAAGTATAAATATTATAAGTAAGATAAACACATTAGCCACCTGTTAGGGGATAAGATATTTTCATTACGTGAGTGCATATATTGGGATTACGGCCGTGAATTGCCGCTCTTGAGTAATTCGTGGCAGCGAACTGTGGGGGGTTCGAGATGGTGGGTATTGGGAGTTCCCGGGAATAACGGAGGTTGAGTTTGATGTAATATAGGACATATGAATAATAGGTGTTATTATTTATGAGCGTAAAAGGTAGATAGGTTATCACATATGAGCAGATGGAAGAAAATTGGGAATGAAAAGAAAAAAAAAATTAAAATTTGCCTTTAAGGATTAAGCATGATTAATTGTTAATTTACTTGTTGTAGAATTTATCTTTTTGTTACTGTATAAAATGAAGAGGATTTTGTGACATGTCTTCTTTTTTCTTGTTTTCTTTGTTAATTTTTAACTGATTAAAATTATTAAAAACTTATCCTTGAATATTATGTTCAGGAAATGGGTCGACGGCAAGGCAATGTATTTGATAGAAAAGAAATAATGGATTTAATGCAACAGCGATTGGATGGTTCTATCAAAAGTTTGCGCGAATTAAAGGATAGGATTGCAGAGGAAACGGGTGAGCAGATTGCACTTACAACACTGTGGCAGCAAATCCACAAAATGAGGGTTTGTTTTGCTATAAGAGAATGGCTATACGTGAAATCCCAATTTAAGTGACGACTGTTAAGTTGTTTTACTTAATTTACATGAAAACTAAGTTTTATTGTACGAATCACCTGAATTCAGTTTTTTTTTTGCTAGCTATTGGTAGTTTTTTGAGCATTCGGAACATATCCCTCTATAATGGGCTCTGCTCAGTTTTTTTCTTCGGGATTTTTATCTAACAGTCGTTATTGCAAGTTTTTAGGGGGAAGTTTTTAGGGAGAGTTGGTCGAAAATAAATCTGGTTATGCTCGAATGACTACATCACGTGTTTCACGAATTGATGGTTCGAGAGTTAGTATCCAGCGGGGAAATGATAGTGCTGGTAGACGTGCTCCATCGATTGGGGTTGAACTTCCAGATGGTTCGTTCTTCAAACTTTTAGAATCAGTAGTTCACATTACTTGGAGGAAATGAATAAGAACTTACAAAAATTCAATTTTTTGAACACTAAATGACAAGTAGATGATAGTTTGGTTGATAAAGTTTATTGCCAGAACATAGCATGAGTTTTTTTTGGTTAGATTCAGAAGTTGAGGTTGATTTCTTACTACGATTTTTAGCCACTGGCTCTTCATTACGTCGATCAACTCGCGCTTCTAAACGGAAAAGCTATTCACCGGCCCCCATGTCATCCAGACTTGATCCGAAGAAGTCTCGTACTGGGTAAAAATTCAATTATTTCAACATTTATTTATGTATTACTAAGTTCAAACAGCTGTAAGAAACCGTCTATGTGTCATTTAATAGAGTTGGATGAAAAAAGTTGGCTATGTGTAAGTATTTCTTAGATATTAATAATGCTTTTATTTTCTTACAGCACAACACCAGTATCTAGTAGCAACATAACTTTAGTTTCTCATTCCCTAAGATGTTTGGGAATGCCGAAAAAGGAGAAAGTCGTCAGACGAAAAAGAATTGATGAGCCACAAATTTGGGACAAAAATGTGGAAGAGTCAATTAGACAAGAAGCTTTGAGGTTATTGAAGTTTTTTTTTGTGTGTCATTATCGATTTTTATTTCTATCTGTTTAATATCTTTGGACATGCCACTTTTCCATTGTCTCATATTATGCTTTCATTTTTTCAGTGCTTCTTGTCATTTTGCTTACTCCTAAGAGTGGCATAGCTAAGAGGGTGTAAATCAGCTGAGGTTTCACTGTGTTTTGACCATGTCTGTTTCAGAATGAAATGATTTTTTTTTGTTGCCAAAATAGAAGAATCAAGGAGTAGATGTTGAGGAGATTATTGTTGATAGAAAATAAGAATATGTACAAGGCAGAGTCGTTCTAAATATTGTTTTTCTGATTTTAGACATGAGGAAGAAACTGCTGATGATCCCCTGGCTAAGGCAAAATCAAAAGTGTGGTTATTTTGTGAAAAATTCGACGAAGATGGTGAATCAAAAGCAAAATGCAGAATTTGTGGGATGGTGAGCTTTTATTTTCTAAATAGTTTTCTGGAAAAGGTGCAGTCTTTTTTTTTTGTCGTACATCATATAATGGTAGCATGTAAGGTAAGTTATTCGATCTTCACAGAAGTTTGCAAAGGATTGGTGAAAATATAACTGTGGTAGTTTTTGTAAGCTTTAACTAATCAGTCTTCTTTCTTCTGTACAGTGTTCTAATGATTCTCTTCTACTTTCAGGTTATGGTACGTAAGCTGGGCTCAACGAGGGCAATGCTACGTCACCTGCGGAAAATGCACGACAATCTCATTGAAGGTATCATAAGACCGGTAACAAAACGTATTACAGCAATTGCTGGAAAACCGAGAGGTGATGATGGCTTTGATATTGATGATGATAGTGCATGGGTGGAAGAGGTTGATGAAGAAGATTTCGACGATTATGATGGTATGGCAATTTTAGCTTCCTGAAATTACGTTAATACTTTTATTCTTGCGAATTTTTTAAAAATGATATAGGATTCCTACATTTATGTTATCTCAAGGGAGGTTGATTGAAAACTTCTTTATATGTGAGTGGAAAAAAAAATTGAAGAGGAACCAGCAAGAAGTTAGTTTGTCAGTAAGGCGTGTGTCTGCTCTCAAAAATTTTCGCAGAAAACAATGATATATAAAGAAATCATTTACTGAAGAATATTCAAGTTTCGATACGACGAATTTTTTCATGTTTTTGTCATGTCAAGATTTTATGTTAAGAACAGCAATATGCAGTTGCGCAACATTGTGTTGATAAAGGGAAAGTCATAGCCTACAACAATTATTCAGATGAAGGAGGCCCATCATATGCTGGCGAAGTATTCATTCGAGAAGATGGCTCGTAAGTAAATGAATGAAAATTTATATTTTTTTTAATAATTTTTTGTATCTACTGATTGATTTTGCTTTACTCTGCTAATTGACGAGACAATCCAATTTCCTTTTTATATTTTCAAAATCCTCAAGTGAACTTCAGTTATGCTGATGGAGACGAATTTGTCGACGTGGTATACGTGCAAGACGGCACTTCGTTTGAGGAAATTATTTCAAAGTCGAATGATGGAAGTGCATTTGTCAATAAGTAATTCCAGCTGTTACAATTTATTGTATTATTGGTATATATGACAAAAAGCAGAAATGATATGTCTAATTCGTATTTGCTTCTAATTTATTTTGCAGCGAATTACCTGCAATGGAAAATAGAAATGAAGAAGCTGCTGTACCTTCACGTTTGAAACGCAGCATTTCCGATTCCGAACTAGCGCGGCCATCCTCTAGAAATGGTAACAATGATCTTGAGCATTACGAAGATACAAATTTGGTATGTTTTTTGATTACATAAGACATAAGATGTTTTAAAGCCAGAAAATTACGTAAATAAGAGCGCTTTAATATGAAATTGGTAATTGCCACAATAATATGGCGTTGGAGTAGAACAATTTTATAGTGCATGGAGTAATATTTCCTATCATTGTTTTTATTTTTCTGATTGTTATTATTAAAATAGTATTTCCATATGTTTCAGGAGACAGATAGATCAATAGGAAATCTAAATTTGTTAAGTGGAGGGGAAAAAAGGCGACAAGATATAGATGATGAACACTTTAGCCGCACTATCACCTCATCCATTTTAACATTCCCTCCAGAGCAACGAGAACTTGTGCGTTGCGCTGTTATGCAGTGTATAGAGGAACTGAGATCGGTTGAATCAACCACGGCCGAAGAAGCAGAAGTTCATGAAGTAACCGATGAAGAACTGGTTCAAATCTCTGATGTTTAAGTTTGATTGTTGTTGTTTAAAGAACAGATTTTAATTGCTTCAATTCAGAAATTTATTTCTAACGTGGAATTTTTCACTCATTTCTTGGATTCAGTCATTATAAAATTAATACATGTTCGTTGATTTGTCGTATTGATATTCGACTCTAAAACCTTGAACTTTTTGATATTTATGTTATATGAATACCAAATACTTAATTTCTAAAAGTAAATCGCTTTTAAATATTCATCAAGAATATATGGACAGTTATTTTTGGACTATAAATTTGATCGCAGCATTTTATGGTTTTTACTCATATTTGTTTCATATTTATAAAATCATCAAGCCATTTATTTGCTTGCTGTACGCTAATTCATGAATTTCATTGTAATTCTCAAGGTTTTTTTTTTTTAAACTAGTTTTGAAGTCCTATAAAATGAAACAGTGTCCATGTAATTAAACAATTTCCTAATTGTGAACGAAAATCGAATTAAATATCATGTTTTTCATCCGTTTTGTTATCATTTTATTTTTTTCCCCTCTTTGTTTTAGACAATGGCTTTAGCTGTGGATCTTTTGTGCTTGTATAATCCCTTTTATATTTGGTTCACTATATATCGAAGTTTTAATCCGCTAAGAAGTGTATAAGGTTTGTATCTAATATCAAAATTTCTGAATGCCTTTTGAAATTAATTCTTTAGTTTATTCATATTAAAAAGATGCATTTCGGTGATATTTGCACTGATGCAGAAGAATTATACTTATTTGGAAAATTTCACAAATCAAATCGATTCTTTATGTAAAAAAAAAAAAAAAAAAAACCTTGCTTCCATAAGAAATTATACTTATTCAATCACTGTGTGCTGTTCAAGTTTTAATGACATAAAGAGATCTTTTAAATAGTGCTCAACTTCACGTTTATCGATGCTAGTAAAATTCGTTACGGCAATCTCGTTAATAAATGCGACAAGCTTATCTTCTTCTGATAGCATACCGTAAGCCTGAAAAAAAAAAGAAGTTCTAGAAGTCCTTAAATGTTACTAATACATTTTTTTGTTGTGTTAGTAGCATTTAAGGCTAAGTTCTTGTAAATATTTCATGGCTTAATAAGGTAAACATACTCTCAGTTGATTGTTATCGTTTGGTGTTAATGCATTCAGAAAATATGCAATATTCGCTTTCAAATTACTATTTACGAATTTATTCCAAACTTTATTGTGCGATCTTCGTAGCATCTCATATTGATCATGCGGCAAACTCTACAAATTAAGCTTTCTTTTCATATTTAATAAAAAAAATTTCTTTGCTTTGGACGTTAAAAAGGGATTAATAATCAGAATGTCTATTTAGTAAATTATTTTGGCTAAATTGCTACTGGAATGTTCTTGTTTTGCTATTTTTATATGTATGTGAAATTGATTGGTGGTATTAAATCATAATTTTCGATTAGAAATAATTTTAAATTTAATTAAGTATGAGGGATCGTATCATTTTTTAAGTAATGCATAATGATAAATGTATAAAAGAAACATTTTTTTTTAAACTATAGTTAAATTATATAGACAACTTTAATCATCTCTTACATTATTAAATATATGATGAATTTTGCTAAATTTACATTGTATTTGTTGAGATAAAAGTCTCGAAGTGATGCCAAATTGTTAATATTTTCCATTCGATTTACAAAATTTCGCTCATCCTTCGTCATATTCAGTGATACTAATTGAATAATTTTAATACTTTCAATTTCTTCATTGAGAAATTCCGTCATAGCCGTAATTTCCTCATCTGTACACATCAGAAGCATCCAAAAAGAAAAAATGATTGCAAAAGATAATTTTGAGGAACAAAAAACAAGTATATTTTGAATGTATCAAATGCAATATGATATAAAGAGAATTGTATAATCTACAATTTAACTCAGATATTTTTGAAATTTGATCGAAAGCATTCAAATTAACTTTATTTCTCAATAATTCATCGATCGCATCATATTGTGCAATTTGCGCCAATCGATCAATTTTACTGCGAAAGTTTGCATTGATACTAGCAATTGTACGAATTTTTGCAATACATGAATCAACCTTTGATATGAATAATTTTAGTGAATCATTTGAATTGTGCTGAAATTAAAATTAATTATTATTGCAAATGTTTTTCTTTCTTTTTAACATTAGATAAGTTTGCTTGGAAATTTCTCATTTTCGTCTATTTAATTAATCTATTTCTTGTAACTGTCGTGTAATACTTATAAAATGTATACTTATGTAATTATAAGATATATTACTTATAAAATATTACCTTACTATTGAATAGCTATTATAAAATTTGTGCTAATAACATATGTAACATACTTACTTCGTTTCTATTTTCAAATGATTCAAGCGCACTTTGCAACTAATAATTAAACTAATAAACAAATTACAAATAGCAAATGATTCAAGCGCACTTTGCAACTAATAATTAAACTAATAAACAAATTACAAATAGCAAATGATTCAAGCGCACTTTGTCAAGCGCATTTAAACTAACAGTCCTGTTAATATCCCGGTTAATAAGCACTATGTATGATTACAATTATGCAATTCTTGTAAACTACAATTATATCAACAGTACAACAGGAAACTCAAGGCATTGCAAAAGAGCGCTGATCCAGGGCGGGATCGAACCGCCGACCTTCTGCGTGTAAAGCAGATGTGATAACCACTACACCACTGGACCGCCTGTCAGCTTACAAACATTTAAGCATAATGTAATGAAATTTTAAATTGAATACTACCTGTGCTTTCTTATTTGATGTGAGTGTGAATGAAAGTGTAATGAAATATCTGTGTTCTGTATGCAATCGCTGTTAGCTTATCTTTGCAGCAAAGCTCTATCCATGGAGAAAGACAAGCATTGAGAAGTCTTTAGTTTCTAGTAAGAAATGAGTTTGGTTGCATATATAATTTGTGATAAAGTCAGCCATATCATATCATATCATATCAAATGTCGTTCCATGTCATATTGTAATCATAATAATATCATATCATGTATCACATAATAGATATCTTATAAATCATATCATATATCATACATAATATATATCATATCATATCATATCATATCATAATCCCACCATATCATCGACATCTATGAATTCTATGTCGAACAATATATAATGAAAGAATACAAGATAGAAATAAAGTACTGAATAATAACTTTGTAAACTTTATTATTTACTTTTTAGCTTATCTGTTAGCTTATTTAATTCTTTACTGTTTTAATTGTGTCTCTGCTTAACAAATATGAATGAAATTCAAAATCTCTAATGCTAATTCTAATAAAACTTTTTTATTCATTATTGAACAGAAAGCCTAAAGTAATTTCATTGCTTTTTATTCAAATTAGCACAAATGTAAAGAGTAGCAAATATTATTAATCAAATTAACTAATAAATAAATAAATAAAATTTTAATTGTAAATAAATGCTATGAAATCAGTTATGAACAATTTCACATCTTTTTTTCTGTTATTTTTAACTAAATTCATATTCTTTCTCTTTATAAAAGTTAATTTACATGTTCAATCTCTTATCTGATAAGCAATCATATCACAAACCTTACATTGTAATCAGATCCCTTACAATAAACTACTCCACTATTTTGTGCTAATCAAACTTCTATATATATTCGAGATTATTATCAAACTGTCACTTCTTACAAAAGTTCTACCAAAGAGACAAAATCCTTCAATGAATATTTTTTGATTAATTCTGCAACATTCTGTGATATAATTTCCTGAATAGAGCATATTCCGAAATCAGAAATCAAAAATAGAAATACACCCTCCCAGATTATTCCTCTCTCTAAAACAGAAATTCATATCAATCTTCAACCAATATGCAAATTAGTGTCACAAGCTGGGAATACCTACAACAATAATTCTAAGCACACAACCGGTAGAAGCTCTTCTGAAGGAAGTTGAAGGGATGGAATGATGTGACATTCATTGTTGGAGCAAATACTGATCAAATGTTGGTCAGAGAAGAGAAGGAGAAACTTTAAGGGATGTGAAATTGATTATATTTGTTTACAATTTGAATGATTTCTTTTTATCTGACTTACTTATTGGTTTGTGATACTTACTGCTTGCAATAAGAAATGATGCTAAAGTGGTTAAGCTAATGAATGGAGTGGTTTAATTAGCTGTAAGCGTTATCAGCACGACTAAGAGTAAGGTTGTACAGCTGTGATAAGTTATCAGTGTTGGGATGAGAATATGATTTGTTAGATTTGTTGTTGCATATGCATGGAATGGAGATGAACTAGAATTGTGACAGAATATGATGGATCGAAATGATTCAAATTATCACGCTGAACCGCTGAGATTTAATGCAACGCATGGAAGACCGGTTCCGGTTTCATTCCGAATGATTTATTAAATTTGAAATTGCTGAAATTATGACATTAATTGCAATTGATTCATCTTTTGCATTGTTTTATCAATGGAAATTTATTGTGTGACTTATTTCAAAAATCTTTTTGTTCTGAAATTTACCAAATATTTAGATGTGTAATCGATAAATTTAGACAACAAATATTACCGAAAATATCAGTGAAATTTTCAGATAAGCTTTATCAGTTATCAAATGTTTGTTATTTGTAGTTTATTCCATCAAATAAATTTTCATATATTATCAAACAATAAGTGTAATGTGAATGATTAAATAATAAATATTGAAAAAAAAAAATTATTTATTTCAGTAGTTTACAAATTCATTTGTTATTTGTTTTGCATGCAGTAATTTTAATCAGTGCATGTCATTGCATGCTAATTAATTATGGCAGAGATAATTTATTCATTATCAAGGTGAGATGACAAAGACAGTCATCCATGTATAATTTGAAATACTTATTTTGTTGACTTTATAGGGTGTCAACTAAGTCTAACTAATTTTTTTCCCTTCAAAAATAATTCATTTATTTCTTGATTATTTCAACCTTTTCATATGACAAGATGAATATTAGCGCAAATTGTACATAAATTTTAATACGAATTCAAATTGTGCATTTAATCAGTTATAAATATATGAAAAATAAATCAGAATGAAACTTATCAGTACTGATATTGATTAAAATGATTAAATGAAGAATGTTACGGTTATCAATCTCAGCAGTGATAGGTGTTAATTATAAATATTTGACAATTAGGACATCCATGATGGCATGAAGCAGTAATAATCACTGTCATCGTTATCAGTTTGTTATCTTTTTTTCCAACTGCTTTCAGTAATAATTAAATAAATTAACTCTTTCTGCCGCAAGTGGTTTTTTAAATATGAAAATTAAACATTTCATTGATAATATTCACTGATAATTCTTTCATTGATACATAATTTATTCGATAAAATTATTTTTCAATAGTTAAATTATAAAATTTCAGTCATATTTTGAATTAAAAAATAAGTAAAATTAAAATAAAATCTTAGCTATTTTATAAACAAAATTAACTATTGTTGGTTTAATAAATAATTTCAAAACTAATTTAATAAAACTTCCATTTAAAATAATAAAATGAAAGTGTATCAATTTACTCATTTTTTCATGCCATGTAGAAATAAAAAAAATTTTAATCACAAATTATCAATATTTTAAATAATATTCAAAAATATCAATGCTTGAAACTTTTTTTTTTTGAATAAATTTCAGCAACGAAAGATTTTGAATAGTTTCCTTCTTTTTATTTCCTTTTAATTAATAAAGAAGAAAATAATATAATATTAAAATTGCTACCAAAAAATAATATATTTGAAATATATATATATTTTTGAAATGAATATTCATTACCAATTTATTAATTAATTTAGTTTGTTCATTCTTTTTCTTTGCTCTTTTTAATAATTATACAAAAAAACTTTGCAAGGGCTTTTCAAATTGTTTAATTCAAACTTTAAAATTTTTATTTATTTTATTTATAATTTTTATTTGTGTTTTATTCACAGCATTGCCTTTTATTTACTTAGTGTATCTAATTCTGATACAATTAATAATTCTAATTAAATAAATCTAATGAAGCTAAATGACTCAGAAATAAATAAACAAACAAATCTTTTTAATCCAATATTAATTTCATCAATTTCGATCCAACTATTTGCATTTTAAATGAATCAATTTATGCGAGAATGAATTTACACATAAATAATGAATTATACTGAAAACCTGAAAGTGAAGAATAAAAATAATTTAATAATTGATATGATTTTATGTGTATATTCTGGTGCAATTTTAATATGAAATTAATTTCGCTCTTTTAAATTCAAATTTGAAGTATAATTCAAGTGGACAGAAGAAAAGAGAAAGAGAGAAAAAAGGAGAAAAGATGATGACCAAATGCGAATTCTTTCATTTAAATGAATAAACATTTCAATTATTGATATCAATATTTTAATCAGAATTTCAAATTAAAACAGACAGATGCTCCTGGCATTAGTTTTGAAATAAACAAATATAAATTTTTTTAAACTTATAATTTCCATTTGTGATGAATCATAAAGTGTTTTAAATTTTATTTAAAAATTTTGCTACCAAAATTGATTGATTGGTTGATTGGTAGAGACATATTATCAGCAAAATTATCATAAAAATTATTTGAAATTGCCATTTTCTTTAATAAACTTAATTTATCCTCTTTAATGAGTAATTATGTTTTAAGTTAATCTACCATAATTATCTTTATATATGCATAATACTTTAAGAATTTTAAAGTAAGTATTCACTCTTAACTAAAGTTTGCAAAAGAGTAGATAAGAATTAAATATGGAAGAGGGGGGATAATTATTTTTACTTTGTCATTTTGAAATGATATTTGAAGTGAATACTTTCCTTAGGGATTATGTAAGAAAGCGCTTTTGTCTTCTTTCTCCTAAATGAATTGAAATGAAAAAAAGCATTTTTTTTTCTTTTTAAATCTTATATTTGATAATGTTAGCAAATTAAAAAATAAATTAAACTTTTTAAGCTAAATTCTATTTTGATAATTTGCCTTCATCCATTTTTTTTTTTTTTTGCTTCCTATCATTTGAATATTTTATTTTTATTCGAAATTTTAATCAAAAAATCATTCACTCATTGCTTTCCTTTCTTTAATGAAAAGTAAAAGGAAATTTTGTTTATTTATTATAATTTATAATGCACTAACATTTGTTTAAAAAAATTTATATAAAATATCAGAAATATTATAATTATACTAATTTCAATGCTTACTTATTTATCATAATAACACATTTTATAATCAACAAAATTCATGAAATTAAAATTAATCAATAACTTAAATTTTTTCAGCTAAGACAAATGTTTTCTTCTCAAAATTTAAAAAATCCTAATTATGTTAAATGATTAAATTAACTTAACTCAGTTTTTTCAGAAAAAAAAATTTGTTATTATAATACAATGACGAAAGATTTTTTTTCTTAAATTTATTGAAATTATAATGAAAATTTTCCATTAAATAGCAAATTTATTCCAAATTAATGCATTTAATACCACTTTATCAAATCTTTTATCACACTTTAAACATTTGCGACTTTTCAAAATTTTTATATCTTAGATTATATTTGTAATTTAACATTGTTATCACAATTAAGTTATCATATCTCTTATCTTCTCAATATTCACTACTATTTGTTAACTAATTTCAAGAAAATAGAAATTCATATTCTTTTCCATTTTTTATTATTAATTTTTATTTCAATGTGATGTTTGTTTACAAATTGTCACTCATACAAAATATTCACATAGCGACTGTTAGGCTTAATTTTATTAAATTTTATATTTAATTTTATTAAATTTTAATCCTTTTAAACCATCAACTTATCAGTTCAATGCATATGCATTTCTAATTGATAAAAACAAAAACTTTCAATCAAAGAAGAAATAAATTCACTTATTTACATACTTTAAAGTTTTATTGGCTTTTAATTTTAGAGTTAAAAAAAGAAAAAAATCTATGAATGCATAAAAGTGCATAGAATTTATTTGTTTAGATTGCAGTGCAAGTTTCACTGCATGCATGCAAGTTACATTTGCAAGTCAAAAAAAAAAAGTTGGCATTTGCTGATAATAACCGTACAAATTGTTATCATTTCAATCATTTTATCATATTTAATTTAATTATTTCAGTCCAATTTTTATATAAATTAATAAATTTTTTTGAAAATGAATGAATTAATGAGAAAATAAATGGAAATTTCTTTTCCTATTAAATAGCTAAATCACAAAAAAAAAAATAAAATAAATCTAAGAATTTTTGATTAATAAACAATTTTCTATTTTTTACTCATTTTTCTCTCTTTCTCTCTCTCTCTCTCTTACTTCCATTCTTTTATTATTAGGTAATATTTCTATATTTCTGTAATGCCACTACTAACGAGCAATATTTTTATGATTGTATTTTTCTTTTCCTTTTTCTTTCTCATTCTTTTCCATTTTATTCTTTAATGAAAATTTATATTAAAAATTCAATTACTTATCGAATTCATTAACTTTCATTTTCCTTTTTTTGTAACTTTAGATTGATATATATTCTTGTTACGTTTACTTAAATTAATCAGTTCAATTTCAATTTCAATTCCAATTTTAATTTCAATTTCAATTTCATAGTTGTTTTCTTGCTTTTACCACAAAAGACTGTTTTAATGAGTCCAAGAAATTAAATACCAAATAATTGAGCGATCACACAGACTTAATTATTTCGCTCATTTCTTAATTTAAAATTAACTTAAGCAAATTTAAATTTATTCACTCAATTTTGCATCATTCATTTTTTTTTTCATCAAAAAAAGGAATTTTTAAAAAACATAAAAAGCGAAAATGCAGTTTTGTTATAAGAAAAAGATTATACTTATATTCTTCATCTTATAACTTAGATATTTACTTTAAATATTGAAGTAGACGGATTAGATGTATTTACCATTTCAAATGCAAATTTTCATCTCAAATAGTTGCAATTTTTAGTGAAAATAATCACTTTGTCACATATTTTTCTATGCTATTATGGTTGCAATTTTATCTGAATTTCTTATTTATATCATTCTAATTTACAAAATTATTTCTGCAAAAGAAGGTTTGTTCAATTAATTAAATGCAAAATTAATGAAAAAATTTTGTTAAAAAAAATAGCAATGATAGTTTAGGTTTTATTTTTAGGTTAAAAATAACAAAATTTTAGATAATAAAAGAAATTTAATCAAAAATGCATTTTATAAGCATTCAGACTATTCCTTCAATCAAACATTTACACATTTAATAAAAAAAAAAAAAAATTTATAAAATTTTATACATTTCACATATTTAATTCAAATGAGAGATATTGAAACAAAAAAAAAAAAAACTTTTTTTATTAGTTTTTGATGGCGAAGTGCAGAATGTAGGCAGTGAAGAGGCGCAAAAGGATGATTATCCATTACCGCTTTCCAGTAATTTATACGGTAAACGCGTTAATTACGGTATGTATTTAATATCTATTTAATTAATTTGTTAAGACTAAACAAAAATTTCAATAAAATTTTGAATAAAATTTGAATAATAAACAAAATTTATCAAAGGAAAAAAACTAAAATTAAATTATTTAAATTTAGAGAAAAATTCTAATAAACCTAAAAGTAATTACATGCATACATACATACACAAACATAAATACACAGACACATACACATACACACACACACACACAGACACATACACAGACATACAAACATTTATGCAGTAAACATAAAATTTAGATAATATATAAAATATGAGAATTAAGCTTGGAAATGGGAAATCCTTAATTCAATGCATCATTAAATCAGCTAAAAAAGTAATTAAATTCAGATGTGATAATGATAATAAATTTGCTTTTCAGTTTTAATGCCTTTGATGGGAGGAATGTATGGCAAAAGAGCTCATAGTGATATCTATGATAAGCCTTATCAGCCATTATCATTATCAGCAGATGAATACAACAATAAACGTTTATCATTGCTATCAAAGATTATACACAAAGAAAATGGTTATTAGATTTGGAAACCTTTTTTTGAAAAAATATTTTTTATCATTTAATTTTATTAAATAAAATAACTATTGTCATATACTTAGATATTATTAACATTGTGGCATTTTAGATATGGTACAATTCAATCCATTATCACATTATCATATCAATGAAAAAGTTGGGCATTCACCATATCAGACATTACGACAGCATTATCAGTTAGAGGATGATAACAATGATTACTACAATCAGATAAATGATAATTCACATCTTCTTCAATTACTATTCAAATTAAGATCGTTGCTAATGAATGATGAATTTAATAATTGAAATGTAAATTAAAGTGGTATTTGGCTTTCATTGTTGCATTACTGAAAGAAAGCACTCATTTGCATATATTAAGTATTTAATTAAATATTAGAAAAAAGAAAGCAAAAAGTTAATTAGTTTTCTCTTTGTTTGCTAATTACAAAAGCTATTCATTATTATTTACAATCTTTTCATGAAATTACTTTAATTTACAATATTGAATTAAAAGAAAGTTTTCTAAATTGTAACTTTTCAAGAAATGAATTTCATTAAAATGAATTCCATGTTGTATCATTAATTTCTAATTTTTTAAACTCAGAACTCAGTACAGCAAATTTTTCATATTTTAAATTTCAAAGTCATTCTGTCATCAATAAAAGCATAAATTACAGATTACAGTACAAATATATGCTTGCTTATATGTTTGAAACTGTTTTAAATTCGAAAATGAAATCATTTGGAGGAATAATTAGAAATGATTTAATTGGAAATTATCTAAAAATATTCGATATATCAATTATAATTTTAATATTATTTTGTCTTTTTTTCTTTCATAAATTTATTAATGCTACTTTTTGCATATAATATGAAAAATTTTAGCATAAAATTTAGGAAATAAATTTTTTCAAATTTCATAAAAATCAATAAAATTTGTTAATGGCATAATTTTGACGGTTGGCATGCAGTCGTTCACATTTTTCATATTTTCATTGCTAGCAAACATACATTTCGCAGGTTTTTTTCATTTATTTGACTTATATATGTGTGTTAATATTAGAAAATAAAATTTTAGAAAATTAAAAAACGAAAATTTTTTTTTTTGTAATTTTAATGTGACTAATAAAATAATGAATAAAATTAATTTTAATAGTACAAAAAACTTTTAGTTTTTATATGAACTGAAAAATTTGAAATTAAAGAAAGTTAATAATCTTTGAAGTTTGAAATTGAGGAAAGTTAATAATCTTTGAAGTTTGAAATTGAGGAAAGTTAATAATCTTTGAAGTTTGAAATTGAGGAAAGTTAATAATCTTTGAAGTTTGAAATTGAGGAAAGTTAATAATCTTTGAAGTTTGAAATTGAGGAAAGTTAATAATCTTTGAAGTTTGAAATTGAGGAAAGTTAATAATCTTTGAAGTTTGAAATTGAGGAAAGTTAATAATCTTTGAAGTTTGAAATTGAGGAAAGTTAATAAGCTAATAATCCTTTTGATGCAAAGAAAATAAACTGATAATTTCAATATCATTAATTAATTTTAAAGAGAGTGTTGTTTGCATTCCACCAAGTGTACCAGCAAAAGATAACCAAGGAGTTGAATGTTGCAGGCTACCTTCGGTATTTACTAATTATTTTCAGTTTAATCTTTTAACAAATAGAGAGAGAGAGAGGGGAAGAGAGAGGGAGAAAGAGAAAAAGTAAACAATTATGATCTCTTTTTAATTATCTTCCAAAATTAGCCACAAACTTTTCTATTATTTCAAATAATTTCTCTATAAACATTATATATTACTACTGTTGTTTTTGGGAAGTAATAATTAAATTCTAAAATTTAAATTTCCTTTTTTTTTACATAAATAAAAACTTTTTAGGAACAAAACATTCTTTTGAAATATGAAATTTCTTTTTATAAATAAAAGTTTTATAGGAAATATTTCCTCATAAAGTAATTTATGAGGAATTTTGCAACACAGTTTATTTTGGTGTCATGGCGGATGGTCCAAATGGTCGATTTTGTCGATTGAGTGGCATCCAACTGAGACGTACTTTCTTTATAATTCATTTTCACTTCATCTTCTTATCTTTATCATATCAGTTGATAAGCGATCTCGATAATGCCATCATTTGACTCCACTATCATATCATTATCATTTCAGTTGATAAGCGATCTCGATAATGCCATCATTTGACTCCACTATCAATCTTTATCTTGATCATATCAGTTGATAAGCGATCTCGATAATGCCATCATTTGACTCCACTATCATATCTTTATCATATCAGTTGATAACTAATCTTCCTAATAATTTCACCATTTTACTTCACTACCTCTTAATTAATTGTAATTAATCGTCTTAACAATTCCATCATGTTACTCCACTATCATATCTTTATCATATCAGTTGATAAGTAACCCTGTAACTTCACCATTTTATTTTTGATAAGTGACTTAAATAAAATTACACAGCAAATATTCCAAAATTTTGCAATGATTTATACATTTTTCGTTGTAATATAACATAAATTTAAATTTCAAAATGATATTTGCATACATTTATGTCAGTCAAAATTATCAAATGTTTTTTTTAATGAGAGATTAAAAAAAATTAGTAAAATTATAGCACTGTAGAAGAAATTCTTGTTTTTTTATCCAAAAAAAAAACTAAAATATTTAATTTGAAATTACAATTTCTTTCCTTCTTTGGTTTTATTCTCTCTCTCTCTCTCTCTCTCTCTCTCTCTCTATCAGTATCATTTATAAAATTTCGAAAGTAGCAATAACTTTTAGCTTTTTAACATATTTTTTTTTTAGTTTATATATGTATTTTAAAATAAGGATAAAATGAAATTTTTTAGAATCGGTGGAGTGTGACTCTGGATGGGTTAAATTTTTCGAAGGATTTAATCAATTTTGCTATAAAGCAGTATATTCTCTCTTTCTTTTCTTTTTTTAAAAAAAAAAAAGGAAAAACAAAATTTTTCTTTTGCAATATTTTTCTCTTCTTTTTAGCATAAATTAAGAAATTATAAAAAAAATAAAAATAAAAATTTGGAAGAAATTAATTTCAAAAACAGTAATAAATCAAAAGTATTGCATTTATTTAATTAATTCAGTTAATGAATTATTATAAAAAAAATTTAAGCAATTTAAAAACAAAATTTTTCTTATTTTCTTACAAATTATTAATATTATTATAATATGAATGAAATAATTATCAGTCAAATAATTACAAATAAGCAAATAATCAAATTAATTAATAATATTAATTAATTTAATTATTTCATTTCGAATTATACAATAATTTTTCATTCATTCAATTTTATTAAATTTTAGTTTTCCATCAAAAATGAAACATTCGACATAGCAAATAAGGCAATCGGTGATCCATGTGAAAATGAAAGGAAGTCGGCGAGGCTTGTGCGAATACCAAATCAAAGCATTAATATGTTTCTTTATGGTTTGTAGTTCGATTTGGAATTTTAAATTAAAATATCTCAAAAATTTTACTTAAATACTTTTTTATTTATATTAATTTTGCTATTTGTTATATTTCAAATTAAAATATGCAAAAAAAAAAAAGTAATTAAAATATTTGTTTTCATTTGCATTGATTACATTTTTTGCTCTTTGTTAGAAAATTTTAAAAATTATTTAGGATAAAAAATTAGAAATTTTATTTAAATATTTAGCTTAGAAATTTTTAGCTCTCTTTGTGTGATTATGTAAATTTTGCTCTTTATTATAATTAAAAATGATTAATAATTTTACCTAAATATTTAACTTGATTATTTAATTCCCTTCAGCTTTGTATAAATTTTTTTTATTTACTATAATTAGAAATTATTTACGGTTAACAATTAATTAATTAATTAACAATATTTATTGATTGTCTCTTTTTTTTTTTAAGTGAAAGTATTAAATGGTGCACAAAATTTATCATGTTTTACAACGGATGAAAATACTTATTATTACTATATTGGCTTATACAGGCTTGTTTATCTTTAGTAAATAAAAATTGTTTATGAAAAAAAAAAAAATTAAAAATTTACATAAACATTTTTAGAATAATTCACAAATTGCCTCAAATTTTTTATGAGCATTGTTTACTAATCAAATTGCATTGCGTTAGTTATTTTAATTTTTAGCTGCGTAATTTAGTATTAATTAAAATTATTACTAATTAAATTATGATAATTTAATTTTATCATTATCATTTTTATTGTTATATTATCAGCAACACTTTATAAATATGATAAAATCATTGGAAAAATTCAAAAAAAAAAAAAAAAAAAAGGAGAAAGTATAACATAAGTTAATCACAAAAATTATATATTTCGAATCTTTCTTTAAACTAAAAATTAAAAATAGCAAAAACTAATTAATCGCATAACTAATTTCTTTATCTTTGCTACTTTCAGAAAAGATTTCGACTGGCGGTGGTATGCTTATCACGAAAAAGCTTACTCACATTTGGAAGAACAAGCACAAATTCTATTGGATTACTTGAATTCACCACGACCAAAACATGTTTGGTCTGATGGAACAGAAATTTTTGCGAAGGGTTGGAATGATATCAATGATATCACCACGAATGTTATCATTTCTAATTGTTGGTTTAATGATGGTTGATAATTTAATTTTCAATTTTAATAAAAAAATCTTAATTATAGACATAATTAATTAATAGAATTAAATTGATTTTGAATTAATAAAATTAATGAAAAATCTTAATAGAAATAATAAAATTTCTTTTTTCTAATGTTATAAGAGTTTTTTTTTTCTTTTTTTAAAACATATTTGTCGTTTTTTTTTTCTTTTAATTCATTTTTTTAATGAATAAATTAACTGAAATTAAATACAATCATAGAAAGTAACTGTTTTTTCTTTTTTGTATTATACATAAGAAATATGCTTTATTAAAAAAAGCTATAATATCAGAAAATAATTTTTTAATTTTTAATTTCATTAAAAAAAGCTGCGACAATAAATCTGATTTAATTACTGAAAAGTTAAAATAATAATAAAAAACAGAGTAACAAATTTAAGTTAATTAATAAAAATTAATGAAAACAGCTAATACAAATACCACATTTTACATTTCTTAATTAAAATAGAAATTATAGGTGGAATGTGGCGCGATGTCAATAATTCTCGAACAAATTTCAAACATGGCAAAAAACTTGTGCCAAATCAAGGCTTTATTTGTGCTTATCATGTGTGATAACAGTAATTCAAGTGATTATTTATCATCTTTTCTCGACAGTGATAATCGTTAACAGTGATAATGTTTATTTAAATAATT